ACAGGTGATTCTTTACAAACAGGTTTAAGGGATTATAACTGAAAGCTGAACCAAGAAAGTTCTGTCACAGCTAGCCAAAGTCTCAACTATTCTGAGAAGTCACACTGCTCAAACAATGCAGATTTAAAAACTGGATTTTAATAAAGTAATGCAACATTCAGTTCAGACCAGGCTCTGGTTATAATTGCTACAATTATCACACTGACCATTTCTATTAGCAATAAACTCCCAGGAGTTTCTCCTAAACTACCTTTACAGAAAAACCTACTTGGGATCAAAAGGAATGAAAAGGCTGACAAGCTACAGTAAAACTTTAAGGTAAATATCAGTGGTACTATTAAAGCACAGTATATTATTTTATCTACAACACATACTGCTATTAATCTGGAGTGGAATGACAGCATTAATACTTACTGCTGAATTTCAAAAATTATGTACAAGAAGGCATACCACATATCCAATGTCAGGTGTCAGCAAGCATGAAGATCACTTAGTCAACTCTAAAGTTACTACCATGCATGTAATTAAAATCCAAGACATATTCATCAGTAAGATATCACATAGAATACGTAAGTCCAAAAATACCTTCACCATCTTTAAGATGATGGTATTAAGTCAAAGAAATTTGAAATAGAGCAGTGACACCAATGGCAAAGGAGACTGTACAGCTGCTTTAGAAATATTGCTTCATTGATTGTTTCTCAGCACTAGAAGCTGTTAAAGGTGAAAATAATCAGCTAAAATAAGCCTTCCTTGTGTGTCTGGGTTCATTTATTACAGCACTCTCACTGGCTACAACACAAAGTTATGCTTTCTCCAAGCCATTTTTTGCTTTTTTAATAGTACTTCACTCTCATGGTTTATCATTTAGTTCCTATGTTTTCACCATGGGCTTCAGACAAACCCTTAAAGAAACCCCAACCAACAACATCTAAACCAAAATACATAAAAAATATTTTAAGGAACAAATTGCTGCATTCCTCTCATGGATCAATGTCTTAAATATTCTGGATTCTCCTTTGAGGAGCCCGCATCCAACTTAACTACAGAGCTCCAAGCTGAAAAAGACAGTATGATTATGAGAATCAGAAGACAACAAGAAATGGAGAAATTAATCTTTAGCAATAGACCATGGATTTTTGTTTTGTTTTGTTTTGTTTTTGTTTGATTTTTAAAATTACATTAGTGAATCAGAAACTGGAACCTATTGATTATGCAACCAGCACAACAGTTTCTAAATACCTTTTGCTGTGATTTATTTATACTCAGTCATGGATACTGTAACTGTCCAACTACTACATATATTGCCACAGTTAAGAATTTCAGATACATTCCTGATCCACTCACATAGATCAGGTACATTTACAGTCAGCTGTTTGCCATTGCAGCAAATTTATAATTGAATTAGTTTTCCACTGTGTATTTAGTTTTCTTCAGAATTACCTTCTGCAAAAATGCCTTTTAGGAAAATACTTCTAGGAAAATTGACTATTACCTGATGTTGAAACACTTATCCATGGTCAATGTCTCACCTGCTAGAGTAGTAAGGAGAAACAAAGGTAAATTAAAAAGAAATTAAGACCTCAGATCTGCATTTTTTTCCAGAATGCATCACCTTCTGTCAGAGAACATGAAAATATCACTTTATTTATATGACAGTAAAATAGTACTTGTTTAGACAGCTTTCACAGTATCTTGCCACATCTCCTGAGCAATTTTAAAAGGCAAGGGATAACAATACTATTTTTTAAATCCAGAATTTACAAATGCCCTACATTCAGCTTTATTCCAATTCATCTCTATTTGGAAGAATACATCCTAGTAGTTCCACTTTCCCAGGGCAGATTTTAGGCACCATAACCCAGGAGAATACTGTCAAGAAAGCTGGAAAGCCAGAAGAGAAAAATAATCTAAGCAAAAGTCTTTGGTATTATTTTAACATACTTGTCAACTACAATCACATCAGCAATTGTCTCTGCATCAGAAAAGGGCTCTGAGAATCAGCCACTTGCCACCTCTACCCTTGTTCACAAATGAGTTCAAAATGCTGACACCCCAAAATGATTTACCCTAAATGATTTTAGGCAGAAAACATAAAAAATCTGAGAAAATTCTGAGAAAAACTGAGAGGGAAGGGAGGCACTGAAAACATAGAGGAAAACAGGACAAAGGAAGACAAAGAAAGCTCTTGTTCACAGGGGAGGAATGGGGACATAAAACAGTTTCTCTTATTGCCACCAGCAGTGAGAAGCTGAGCACTGTCCTCTTCCCCACAGGCTGGATGGTGTGAAGGGTCAGCCAACAAGAGGAGCTGTGTGTGCTTGTGCCTGGGCATGAACACATGTGTGTGCTTAGGAGGTGAGGACAGCTGGGGACAGCAGAGCAGCCATCCTCAGCCTCCACTTCAAGCTTTAACAAACAGCTCTGAGACAAACAGCAGCTTCAACAGGGGCTGTTCCTATGTGGAGAGACTCTTTCCTTTTCATCTGAAAAAGTTGGGTTTAGATGCTGAGGGTAAAATTCCTAGAAACTGGGGTGGTTTTTTTTGCCTGTAGTGGATAACCAGAAATATTGTATTAGCTAGGAGCTGCCATCCTGTGTTCAGCACATCTCCTTGTTGTAACCACCACTTCTCTTTTACTGAGGAATCCTCCAATGGGTATTCAATGTCTAACACAGTAGAATCTTCTGGAAAAATATATTTTGATGAACAATTCTGTTCTCCAAAACATTCAGGAAAATAATAAATTCTCCCTTTTCATGTAATTATTATTGAAACAGCAATGTCTAAACTGCACGCAAAATAAAACACCAGGTTTCTTGCCCAGTTGCCGACTATACAGTCACCTGCAGCTCAGTCAGGTTCTGCTGATGCAATAATATGTAGCAGTTAACAAGTCATTGTCCTACTGTATTACAGAACACCACAAGCAATCTTCACAGGTACAAGCCAAAACACGAAAAAGGATCATGGCAATCATTGGCTTCCTTTCAGTCTTTGCCAGCAATACTCCTGATTCTAACCTATCAGTCCAGCCCAATCAAGAGTGTCTCAGAAGATGTGGAGGAACGATCCTTTGATTAAATAAGTAACAAAGTAACTGTAACATTTTTACACAGCAATGATGCATCCATTCCCAGAGATTTACAGTTGTAAAAGAAAATGACGCACTTGCCTGACATGTGGGTACATCATCACACAAACATCTCCCAGAATGCTTAATAAAAACAGATGATTAACTACAAAAAAAGATAAAGTGGGCAATCTCCTACATACTGATTAAACCTACCCCATGACTCAGAGGGAGAAATCCTCTGAAGAAAGCAGCAATGTGATTAAAGCTGGAGGGGCTGCAACTAGCATATGGAATGAAAAACTGAGCAATAGTCCCATGAAACTGTGTCTGAAGTAAAACCCTGTCATTATCAACTGCATTAACAGTCTGTCTATACCCTGACCTAACAATGCACAATATAGATAAAATACTCAATAAGATCCCAGAGATTAATTTGGATTTTATTTTTGCAGTATGTTTTATTCAGAAAAATAAAATGGAATGTCTCTGACATTTCCCAATTACCCAGTCTCTGAACACAGCATAAATTTAAGTCTCTATGAATTACTATAAGGACCATAGCAAACTCATGAAAACAACAGGGCCCCTTGCAGGTATGAGCTTGAGCAGTCAGAACCCACTGCAAGACTGGGACCAAGCAGACATCTTCATTAAGGGATCTGTAATAGTGCCTAAAAATGTTTCCCTAAGAAAGCCAAACCTTGTAATTAACATATATAATATTTTCCTCTGGATGAGGTCAGCTAGAGCTTTGTAATTGTGCTCATTTATTCCTATTAATACATCTCTCATTAGGATGCACACACTCTCAGGATCTCGTCTGCTTAGTTCTGGCTTGGTGTAAACTTACTATGACGGTGCAACGCTGCTGCTCTGCCACCAGGTACTGGGAGCGTGTGCACTTGTCTGGACACGGCACAACCAGGCCACGCTGTTTCACTTGATGTTGCTCCAGCGCACTCACAACTTCTGAATTATGAGATCCAATCTCACCGGTGTGCTACTCAGCGCCTTTGGAGTGACACCCTAATTATCAAAAAACGTGCACCGGCAACCTGTGTCACCTACTTCCTGCCCTTCTCTTAAGGGCCCTGAAAAATGCGCACACACACGCACAGACACACACATCCCTCCCTCTAAAAGTGGTCCCAGAAACGCGACGGGTATGAAGAACTCGTCAGCGATGCGAAGGCACCCAGGTGAGCTTAGACCCCTCGCTCCCCGAGGCAGCTCACGGAGAGTCGAGAAGCACCCGTTCCCCCGGGGAGTGGCTGCAGGTGCTCCGGCCAGGGGTAGCCCGGCTACCGCCGCTGCCCGTCCTGCACGAAGCCGACCGGGGCCCCCGACGGGCGGTGCCCCCACGGCCCCGCCCCGCTCCTTACGGCGCGGAGGGAGCGCGGCCGCCCCGCGGTGCCGCCCGTGTGCGCGGAGCGCGGCCAGGCGCCGCGGGTCCCCGCCCGCTGCCCGGAGAGAGCCGCGTCCCGCCGGGAGCGCCTGCTCGGCAGGACCGCCGAGCGGGAGAGAGGGAGGGAGAGAGGGAGGGAGAGAGGGAGAGCAGCGGGGAAGGTGGGAGCGAGGGAAGGAGGCAGCCTGGCGGCCGCGAGCGCCTCGCCGGGTCGCGCCCTGGGTCCCCGCCGCGTTCCCCGCGGGGAAGGCGCCCGGGTGCACTCCCGCTCCGCCGCTGCCCCGGCGGTCGCCGGGCGGTTCTCGCCGGCGTTACAGCCCGGTCCCTGCCGCCACCTCCGCGCCGTGCCCCGTCCCGCCGCGGCTGTTCCCCGGCCTGTCCCTAAGGCTACAGCCCCGGCCCGGGAGGAGCAGCAGCCCGGCCGCCGCTCGGGCAATGAATGGAAGCGCGGCCAGCGGTCCCCGTTCTCCCTCCCGTCCTCCCAGCCCCGCACAACTTCATTGGTGCCGCTGCCTCACCTCTGCCGGGCAGAGGCGGCTCCTCCGCGCTGGGGCTCCGCTCTCACCGCCGCCTCCGGCCCGCGCCCCGCCGGGCTCACCCTCCTCCGCTCCCGCCGCGACCATGCACCGAGGGAGGAGGAATGGGATCCCGGCGAGGGCCGACCCGGCCGCCCCCAGCCGGAGGGAGGGAGTCGCGGCGAGGGGCGGGGAGGGACGGGACGCGGGCGCCCTGCCCTGCCCAGGACCGGCCCCCTCACACTGACGTCCCCCGCTCCCACACGGCCGGCCGCGGGAAGCGCCCAGAGCGGGGCCGGGCGGGAGCTGGGCCGGGGCACGGAGGCACCGCGGCCATGGGCGGACTCCTTGCCCCGGTCGCTGTCACAGCCGGGGAGAGGGGCTCTGGAAATAGCCTAAATCACCGATGCCCCGCCATCCTGGCGTTTGAATAACCAAAGGTTCGCCATCGGCCCCGTCCGCCAGATAGGCTGAGAAAGGACTGGGCAGCACGACTGACAGTGTCAGGCCCGGTACAGCCTATTGCACTTCGCGTCACAGTCTGCCCCACTGGACCTAGCCATAGTGGATGCACTGAACGGAAAGCAGGAATGGTAAACAGCAACTTCTCCTGTCTCCAAAAATTACTCTTGGTGTACACCCCCGGAGATACAATTTACCTTGCAAGAAAATGTTTTAAAAGTCTACAATGGTTCTTTTTTCTAACTTTTCCTGCTCAGAACAAATACTTTCCCACTGATATCCCTTTAAAAATCATACTTAACATTCTTCCAGTTTCAAAGCAACACTCTGATGATCCAGGCTTTTCCAGAACTTTGTAATTTTTAAAGTATCTTGAGATGTCTAATGCCAGGCACATATGTGTCTACAAGCAGTGACACTCAATTAAAACATCTGCAGGGAAAATGAAGGTTTAGGCTTGGACATGTCTCTGCATGTCTCTGCTATCCCCCACTTGCACCCTTGTGTAATATGCTGCTCATTGAAAGTGGATGACAGGTGTCTAACTTCATACAGCTCATCTCAGTGTTAGCTTCACTTGCTAGATTGGAACTGGTTGTTGCAACAGATAAAACCAGCTGCTAAGTTGGTCAATAAAATAAATCACTCTCAGTATCTCAGAGACATAAATGAAGTGCTGCACCAGCGCAAAACTTGATTTGCTTCAGCAAAAGCTGTCCTCCTGGGAAAAAATAAGGAATTCTCTTTTCGCTGCTATCAGAACGGTATCTTTCACAAACACTGCATTTACTTGAAGTTATGGCTTTTGACTAAATTATCCTTTCACTGCCATGATACAGAGGAATCAGTGTAGGCTGATCCTGCTGACTGCTTGGGACTCCAAAGTCTTCAACTCTGCAAGAGCATGCTCTATCTGACTGGATTCAGCTGCTTGATCCGTGCTCTTTTAATTGGTGTCCGCTGCTCAGAAAACCAAAAGCCAGTAAATGTTTTTTCCAAGTACATAGGTTGAGGAAGAAAAAACAAATACAAAACTCCAAGAATTATGTTCCTATGGCAGAAACAATAAAAACATATGCAACTCTCTACACTTACTGAAAACAGAGCTTATTCTTTCATGTCTGATTATTGTCCAAACTTGTGTCCTTACATTACTTTTCCTCTTTCTGGACAAGTCATCAATTTCTAAAAACACTCTAGAAACATTCTAAAAAAAGTTCTAGTAAAGACGTGTTTGAATGTTCCCATTAGAGAGTCTGAAAATTCATTTTCTACAAAATAAGGGTGTCTTTGTAAAGCTGAACTCTCTGTGACCTTTGAGAGCAGCTCCTTTAACATACAATAGGAGACAACTCACTAGGTCTGTCCGAAAATAAACATCTCTTTAAAGAATATCTTAACCCTAGAGACTTCACACAAATAGCGCGCTGACAACATTATTTGATAACACAAAATTAATACAATAGTCATATTAGTTTTCAAAAAGCTTTGAGGCCTTTTGCATTCCAGTTTTGGAGTGCACTTTGAGCTAATATCCACAACACATAAGTCTGCTACTTTTGGATCCATTTTTCTGAAATAGATAAATGCTCCATGCTGTTTCAAAAAGATAGAACCATGATACTACAGCAATAACGTGAAACCTAAAAGTATAAAATCTGCATTGGAAATGGTGTAGCTAACATCAGTTTTCTCCCTATTAACTTTTTAAAAGATATCTCTATAACTCTTAAAAAGATAAAGTGAAATGCTATTTGATTTAATAAAGCTTACCTAGAGTGGAGAATTATTAAAGCATTCCTACTATCTTCATTTATGAAGTCAGCTTTTAAACACAGACACACACATGTGTCCTAATCACAAATAAGTCTCACAGCAATTAACAGATCGGATATAAAGAGTGATGTTGTGATGGTTGCTGCAGGAGTGGATACCGTGGCAGTGGCAGCTTTTTCTTCCTCCTCCATTAATTGTTTAAAAATTGTTTGCTATTTAAAAATACACAGTAGGAACAATTACACAGTGATGCTATCAGTTAGTGGTAATGTGCAGGCTCAGCCATTGGATAAAGTAATTACTAATGGGAAAGAAGACACCTGCTAATCTGCGAATTATAATCCACAGAACAGTATAATAAAGTTTTTAAGAAACATGTTACTGACTTACAGCACCACATGTAACACAAAGGGAAACCATGGCTTAGAACATTGAATTTGGGGTACTGATAGTCTCACCCCGGTGGATCCTGTCTAGTCCACAGCACACATTGTTACAGATAGTTTTTAGCATACTACTTGAATGCAGAAACTTGTGTGGCAAGCTCAGTGCATCAGGGTTGAACAACTCCATGACTTAGAAAAACAGCCATGAGCAGGCAGTTTTCACAAGGAGGTAGGAAGCAGCATGCTGAAATCCCCTGATGTAGTCTGAAGGCCAAGGATTGTGACCCTGGCAGATCTAAGCATAGCATATAATTTTCTCAATTTGAACACTTCTTTATTTGGAATTGGTGTGAGGAACTTGGTATTTCCTTCTATCTAAGTACTGGGGTTTTAATGCTAACTAATTACTATATTGGCTTTGATGTGCAGCTCTAAACATTTTTATTTAGCTTATATTAAGCCCAACTGCACAAACAAATAACTCATCACCAGAACTTAGCACATACACATTATCCAAACAGGAAACAGGGACGTCAAACAAGCACACTTTGGATTAAGTAATATATGAGATGGAAAAAGATGATATAATGTTTTTTCCTCTTGCTCATAGATCTTTCTAAGTATCAATTTCATAAGCATTAATTTGTTTAGACAGTTTTCCTCCCTAAATATTGGTTTAATTATAACCCCAGATAGTAATAACTGATCTCATTTTGATTGATCGATTTAAATTCTCCATGGACTGTTAGAATGAAGGATTATTTTACCCTGAAATTTCCTGAAGTTCACCTGAACAAATACAGCCTTGGATGTGGCCCAGAAAACATTCTCTAAAGATTGTAAGAATAGAATATAGACAGGGCAGACAAAACAGGATAGCAGAAAGTACAACCAAAGAGACATGACATCCAAATAACTACCAAATAACATACAGGTTGGAAAGAAGAACAGACACTATTTGGCTCAAAATTATGTTCTCACTAAGCCTGTGAATAGTCACTGGAAACTATTAAAAATATTGGAGAAAATACAAAAATTTCTATATAGAGCCTACAAAAAGCTAAAAATGAACAAAGTGAATATCATATGTGCATACTGGAATTAGTAGTTGGACTAAAGCGCAAATCAATCTCAACTTTTTAAGCTTCAAATATATTCATACTAGATTTGTTCCCTCATTGCACTTACTTTTCTGTTTCTTTTTGTTGCTGGTATTTTGGTTTTATTTTTTAAGTGACTGCTTTTCCAAAATCTTCTCACTGTGAAGGAATGCAATAAATTTTAATATTCTATTCAAATGAATGATCTGACTACAGAAACACACAGGGAAGAATTTTTTTAGAGTAAAATAGTGTTAAAGAAAATGCTGCATTTGGAACTTGTTCAGAGAACTCCACGAAAAATAGAAAAAGAGGAGTTAGGGAGGCAGAAGATGGTGGGAAATATATAAAAGGGAAGACTCAGTTCTGTAAGAGTGAGGAAATTGAGTTGGGACATGGGGGTTATTTTATTGTGGGTGTTTTGTTCTTCTACCCGAAAGAAAAGTAAGATGTAAAACATCAGCTGAAATAAATCTTCAAGAGAATGTGTCTTTCTCAAGTAACACTTGTTTTTTGTTTGCAGCTTCAGAATTTTCAGTTTTTGTAAGCACTTAGCTACGACATTTAATTTTTCAGTAGTTCATTGCTCTAGTGTCAAGCAGTATATGGTGTTACAGAAAATAATGTGATCTTTCTAATGTATAGCTAGTGACAGTAGAGACAAAAAAAAAAGAAAAAAAAAAGGACATTTGAATAATAGGGAAACTCATCTGTTCATGCTCCTGGAGACTTTAGGAGCAAATGAGAAATGAGAAGAGGCTGTGGTTAAGCTAAAAAGATCATTCAAAATTAGCACCTTATGTTGTAGACAATAAAAGAAGTGCAAGAGCATCCATAGTGGATAACAGCAATATTATATTGAATTGACAGATTTCAGAGGAAAGGAATTTTATAGCTCAGGTCAAAATAAAATTTATGTGAGAATTGTAGCCATAGGTAAAGAAAAATTACTATCTCAAAGTTGTTATGTACAGTATCAATGTACAGTATCTAGACTTATTTGCATGTGATGATCTAGGGGAACATCAGTGCTGAGTAGCAGAAAGCACGGAGATATCTGCAGAGAGAAAGGAAATAGGAAGAAGGTTTGGAAAGAAAGATTGGGGGCTGTCTTAAATCATACTGAATTTGAATTGATTACTTAATTTCAATATATCCAGAGACATATCTTAAGATTTTAATCTCTACAGGAGGAAGAAGTCTAGGGTGACTCAGGAAAGCTAGTTTAATAACCTATTTAGATAAGAAGAATAAGTGAAAAGGACAGGGCTGCTTAAGTTTCCGTGGGAAAGAGATGAAGAAAGCACTCTTCCAGACACACAGACCAATACAAAGCAGCAGCAGGCATTCATCAAAATAAAAACAAATTGAAAAAATAAGGTCAGTTAAAACA